TTAAGACTCATAATTCACATTTTCAATAACAGTATAAGGGATCTCTAATGGGTCCATATGAATTTAGACCAGAAATAATTTTTAGGGCTGAAAATCATCTTTTTATTAAAACTTGTAACATTGTATGTTGTATATGGTTGAAATAAATTTGTGTTTAACTTAAATTCTCTTGCTTTGTTTTGCTTCATATACAAAGTATAATTTTTGAAATTTACTGATTAAGTAAAAGTAACAGTATGTTCATCTTAAGGCTTCAACCGTAAGATCATAATGATTTTAGTTACATTAAAAAAATTTAGCTGTGTATAATGTGAATCCTATTTATACAGTGCACTACAGTACCAGACTAAGGTGAATACTGTAATTAAATGGACAATTTGTCTTTGTTAAAAATAACTATCCATGGTATAAATGTACTATCATTTTAGGTGTTACTAAACCTTGGTGTTCATCAACTGAAGTGTCTAATCTCCTGTTAAGTTTGGTTCAAAATTTTAGATTTTTTTTTGTCGGTACCAACTGCCTGTTTATAACTACCTAGCCAAATTAATGATGATTCATGAATGTATTCAAGCTGAATATTTCTGATAAGTTCACAACCTATTTGTGCATGTATTTAACATTATTTGAGTAGAGAAACCACAACTTTCGTAAAGTAATGCATCCAGCAGTCATCATCAACTTTTAGGGTCAGTGTTCTTCCTATGCCTCTGGTGGACTACCCATGCCCACATTATACAAGTGCCATCAGCTGACTTTACTTTATCCTCTTCACCACTGGTCAGCTCTAGCCAGTCTGGCAGTCAGTCATTTCTCTGTTACATACTGTTGGCGTGTACTGACTAGAAAGTATCTAATAATGCACCAGTGTTGGTCAAGTCTGGTCTTAGATGAACTTACACTCGGTGCCATCACAACATTCTCTGGCAGGTTATTGCAAGAGTTCAGAAATTCTTTTCTCCAAAGAGTTGGATATGACAATTTTTGGTGCTTGTGGTACATGTGACAGCATGTGAGGCAGGCATCCACTTGCTCATAATTTCATAAAAAGATAAATTTTATATACAATGTAACTTCTTGTATATACAGTACATTATGTTGAAACTTGTGCTAATATAATTAGTTCAATAAATTTACCTAAAAAAATTCTCACATACTCTATCTAAAGGATACAAGTACCCTGTATTGCTACTATACCATCGAATGTTTCTAGTATTTAGGTGAATGAATACATTACTGCAGTATCAAAGAGAATCATTCTAAAACTTGTGATTCTAATATTAGATGTGTGACTCAGTGACCAGGAAATAAAATTCTTTCCTATTTAGAAGTCTTTACATCACAGTGTTGGTCCTCCAAAGATGTAAATGGAAACTCCTCTCCTTTTTGGTTTCCATTGGCATCAACACAATAAGCCATTAGTCCTCGTGTCTGCCAAGGCCGATAGTGCCCGTCGCCAAGACATATTGGTTTACTAGCTCCCAGACCATTTTCTTCCATGATGTAACGCCCTCGTGCCCGAAAATATTACACATCGATGACGTTATATATTTTCCCATCAGTTATTATAAATTTATAAAATACCATTCAGTTGATGCAGTTATCATGATCATGAATATTATACATCATAACAGTTTGATTATATTGATGCCATCCAGCAAAATTAGGCCTTTTTTTTTTAAGGGTTACATCCTAAGCTACTCGCCAACCATAAAATGAAATTTCACACAAAGTCCATTCACTTTTGATTGACAATATGACTAGTAAACATTTGCACAGTACTATTTGATTCAAAATTTGCTGCCAAGACTGTAGTCCTATAATGTTTGGTATTACATGCATCAACAAGAAGGCACAAAAAAGTATCTTGCTTATATTATATATATATATATATAATATATATATATATATATATATATATATATATATATATATATATATATATATATATATATATATATATATATATATATATATATATATATATATATATATATTGATAAAATCACACGGGAAAATGGAAACAACAGAGTACCTTAGCTTTCGTCTTTATTCAAGACATCTTCAGAGGCAACTGGTTTACATGGACAGAGAGAGGCTTAAATATACAGGGTGACCTAAAAACATGAGGTCAGGTCATAATGATGACATCCACTAATCCCCACACCAACACACACGTAGAGGAGCTTAAGAGAAGGGTGGTGACGTGACTAGTCAGGTCAGGTCAAAAATAAGGGACCCACAAAATAACTATTATACATCTAGATCAAAGGTTTTCAAAGCATTTTTAACCTTGGGCCACTGACAAATAAATTTATGTAACATATTATCAGTTTTGAACTGACCATCACTAAGGTTTATTGATTTTAATTCCTTAATCAAACTAGCTTCAACCAGAAGTCTTTCTGTGACACAAGATGATTTGAATACTTCTAAGCTTTTTTCCCAAGCAATGGGGTGATTATTATTCCTAACATGAACGAACAAGGCACTGCTTTCA